GTGGTGGTTCCAAGCACAGGTCCTAGAGTAAGACTGAACCCTGAATTCTGGGTTTAAGAGTTAATAGTTCTATATTGTTGTTGTTAAGTGCCATCAAGCGGGTTCTAACTTACAGCTACTTTGTATAGAATTTCCAAGGAACACACCCAGCTGGTGGGTTTAAACCACCAATCTTGTGGTTAGCAATCCAGTGCTTAACCTACAGTGCCGCACCAGGACTCCAACAGCCCTACTGCTGTTGTTATGAAGTGCTGTCGAGTCGATTCTGACCCATTGTGACCCTGTAGAGGGTTTCCAACGAGCAGCTGGTGAGCTTGAACTGCCAACCTTGCAGTTCAAACTGCTTTGCAGTCTGATGCATTAGCCCACAGGGCCACACCAGGACTCCAACAGCCCTATAAATTCTGGCAAATTCCTTAAGCTCTCTGGACTTCAGTTTCCTCTGTAGTAAAATTAAGGCAATAATTAGGACTACCACACAGGCTTGTCATAAGGATTAACTGAGCTGAAACCATGAGAGAGATTACAACAATCTATTAAGTACTTTGTAGATGTCAGTCATTATTTTGGCTTTATGTTAATTTTTGTGTTTAATTTTCATGACACACTTGCAAGTTAAGTATTAAGTGAGTTAATAAAGTACTGATTCGGCAGTTCAAGCTCACCAGTTGCTCATTGGAAACCCTACACAGGGTCACGTTAGGTCGGAATTTACTCGATGGCACTTAATAACAACAATAACTGTAACTTCATTAGTTACTATTACTGATTCCATACATAGGTGAAGAGTCTGAGATATAGGTAACTTAAGTAATTTGCCAAAAGCCCCCAGAGATAAAGCAGAATTTGACTACAGATGTGTCTCATTCCACATTCCAGACTCGAACCTGTACCTAACACTCCACTGTTCCCACAGGTCTTCCTCTTACTGCATCTCCAGCTTTTATTTAGATTTTTCTTTAACTTTCTATCTTATGGTTCACTCTCAGAGTAAATGTAAGGACAGGGGTTAGGTTTTATTGATTCTTCCCTCCCAACCACTCATGCATATTTCAGAACCTAGTAGGTGCTGGGATATTCTGCTGAAGAGGACAGACCAGACCTCTGTCCTCATGAAGGTCAAAGTTTAGTGAAATGACATAATCAAATAAATATACAATTATCAACTTTTATTGATAATGAAGGAAAAGCAGGGTGTTAAAAAGAGCATAAAAAAATGGACCTCATCTAGTTGGGAGAAATCTGAGGATGCCTTTCTGAGGAGATACATTTAACTTGCGATGAGAAGACCAACTGGGAGTAGCAAGCAAAGAGAGAGGCACACAAGCCTCGTATGCACAGACCCTAGAAAGAGACCTAACCTGTCCTGTGCGGAAGAGAAATCCTGTGTGGCTAACAAATGGCGAGTACAGAGTAGTATGAGATGAGAAGGGGAGAGGTAGGAGGAACCAGAGCCCATAGCAGTATAAAGAATTTGAGGGGTTGACCTCAGTTCAATGGAAAATACAGTTGTTTTTAGAACAACTACTTGGGCTTGGCTGCTGTGTGGATAATAGATTGGAAAAGATCAATGGCAGACGGCAGGAAAACCACTGGGAATCTCTGATAGTAAACGAGGGAAAATGTACTGGTGGCTTCGACAAGGAAGGTGGTAAAGAGGGTGGGAAGAAGTGTACGGATTTAAGGTGTATCCTGTGCCCCAGGCCTAGCACACTGCCTGACAATACGGAGTTCAGTAACTTGCTGTTTAAAACAATGAGCAAATGCTCTAGCAGAGCTTGGCACTACTGGTTCTCAGGTATCTACTGACCCACAGATGCAGGACCTCCCCCAGAGCTGCATAAATATCCAGTAGGCATGGGAGAAACCAGGTAAATGTTGAGGATATAATAAATTTATCAACTAGCTGGCAAGACTCTATTTATGAAAACCTCTTGACATGTAAACGTAACTATGTGAAACAAAATGCCTCTCCCATCCTGACAAGGAAAGATTTCAGAAGCCAGATATCTCTCTTTCTGCTTTGTGCTTCCCAAGCTTGTTAGAGAAATGTATTATTTAAAATAGCCTAGAGCTACGCTGCTAGAAGCACAGTCAAACACTGAGGGTGCTGAGAGAAGGCCCTTACACTAGAGAAGAAAAGGAAAAAGTAAACAAAGCTGTGCTTAGAGAATCTGTATTCTTTATTCTCCTACCCTTCTTTTAAAAACATCATCTGTCAGTACTTCTTAAAACAGCAAAATAATTTGTTTATTTATTAGCAACAAATTCAAATGCAGAGTTAAGATTTTTTATATTCTGATAAAACCACAAAAGGTCAGAACAGAGAGTGCCTTTTCCGCGTTATTTAATAACTTTAAACTTTTGACTTCTTTTGCTAAGACGGTGAAACTAAAACCACTGGGGAAAACCAAACGTTTGCTCAAGTGGAAATGAGAATGAGGGAATCTAAGGAGACAGTCAGCATTCAAAATCAAATAATTCCAACATCCCTCAAAATGTTTTCCCATCCTAAGGAGGGTAAGAATATTAATCACAGGGTCCCATCCTAAGAAGCCTAAGAATATTAATAACAGGGTAACAAAGAGGTCCTCAGGCTACACTCTAGCCACTACTCTCCTGCTAGGACTAAATTAAACCTAAGAACTGTCTGAATTCTCAGTAAAGAAAGCTTCACACCATAGTGGTTTAAAGAGAACACTGCTTAGGCTAGGATGATAAGCTCAAGCGTTTGAGACACAAAAATTCATACAGTCAAGTTGGCACAGAAAAAGAGAGCTTAACAAACAATTCTGTTCCAACGTTCAGTCAAGTGTCTGCATAACTTTGCTCAGTTTGTCACCTACCAGCACCATCATCAATGCTGAAAAATCTCAAGTACAGGCAATACAGATCAAGAGAATATGGGGCAGGGTGTATTTCAAAATTAGGAGCTTAAAAACAAAATATAATTTGCCTTCTTCTATTTGATAAGAAGGAATCCTGGTGTGATGCCATAAGAGTAAGCACTGAAGTGCTAACCACAGGCCATTGGTTCAAACTCACCAGACACTCTCCGGAAACCCCACATAGTTGCTATGAATTGGAATTGAATTGAAGGCACTTAGCAACGTTTGCTAGAAAACCCACTTTTCCCTACACTGACAATACAAGCTTTATAAGGCACTCATTCTCTATACCCTAATGTCTTTGGAGTCTTAAAAATACTTTTTTTGAAGGCTGTGAGCTGGTGGCCAGGAGGCAGGCTTGCCGAATGTGCCCTTTGGTGGTTTAAATTATATATTCCTGAGTGTTTTTGTGTATTGCCCCTCCCCGCCTAAAAGCAGATGGAATAAAAGCACTGTTGAATGATGATCCACAAGGAGATTGTAATCAACGCAATGAAATGATGAGTATAAAACCGATGTTATCCAATGTAAACTATCACTCAATTCACAATAAAAACTTAAAAAAACAAAAACAAAAAAACTTTCTTTGTAGAACCAGAAAAAGACATACATGAACATCAAATAATGCACTGGTCCTATTACTATATTAACTAATTTAAAGAATCCTAATGACCACAGTAGTAGATGATTTAAAAAAAAAAAATTATTTAGAAATTTACAGAGGTTTAAGGCTGAATACAACAAAGATAAAAATGTTTCACGTATTCTTTGTTAGTCAAGACACCAATATTGTATATATTCAGTTAAAATTCATATTTTAAAATTTTCTGCTATAAACATTAGATTCTAATTGATAAAACAGAAAAAATGTGTTTAATTACGATCCTATGCTACTTCAGTATTATTAAGAAACCTCTTTCTTCCCCGTAGTTTTCATCAGTGTGGTAGTGGTGGTTATGTGCCGTGGAGTCAGTTCCAACTCACAGCGACCCTGTACAGGGTTTCCAAGGCTGTAAATCTTTACGGGAGCAGAAAACCTCATCTTTCTCCCACGGAACAGCTGTAACCAGTATAAATTTATTTTGTTAATAGGAAAAGCTATATTTTTTAATAGGAAAGTTAAAAATCTAATTTGACTTTATTGTCGTTGTTCTTAAGTGCTGTTGAGTCGGTCTGACTCATAGCAACTCTGTTTCTGAGGAGCTGCTGATGGATTTGCACCATCAACTTTGCAGTCCAGCAAATTATCCTGTAGTGCCATACCAGGACTCCAAACAAAAATAAGAAAATAGCATACCTTACATGTGATGTTTTATTATAATGGTACAAAGCTATTAATTAAATATAGTCTTAAAAAATACTCAATTCTATATGAATCCACAAACAAATCAAGTGCTATTTTCATTCTCAGTATCAGGTATTATGCAACAAACAGTTCAACTGAGTTATATATTCTGCTTTTTGCTAGACAATCTGCGGATAAGCAAAACCATTTATATTTCAAGCAAATAAGGAGCTCTGGTAGGTGCAGTAGTTACAATTTGGGCTGCTAACCTAAAGGTCAGCTGTTCACAAATACCAGCTGTTCCACAGGAGAAAGATAAGGCTTTCTGCTCCAATAAAGATTTACAGCTTTGGAAACCCTATGTAGGGTCTTTATGAGTGAGAATGAACTCCACATAACCATCAACACATCATATGCAAATTGAAGTGACCAATATAAATACCATTAAAATGAGGTATTTCAATCAATTTTCAACCATAGTTTTGAACAACAGTGTGAAACAAAATATCAACCACTTCATTTCAACCAAAATTTCAAACTTCTGACTTATTTATTTCTCTAAATTGTAAGCTGTTTATTGTCAAAATTGTAATCCTTTGGTATGCTCTTTAACAGATGAAATTTGCTTTCTTCCCTTAGGGAAATGTCAGACTATACTAATATCTAAGAAATACGATTAAATTAGTTTAATTACTTCATGTTGACTTGATAAGTCACTGCTCTTTAATGTAAAAACTGCCACTTGTAATTAATGACTATTGGTACTGCTTCAATTGATCAAATGTCTAACACGCATAAAGCATTCAAAGAAGTTCTGTATATCTTACAGCAATTCAGTGGAGAAGTCTTGTCCCAGGGGTACATAAATCTGAAGCACAAGAAACCTCTGGATCAGTCCAACTAGAAAGAGAGGAGGGAAATGTACATTTATATGTCCAAACTGTGCATATGTACATAGAAACAAACACAGTCATATGCCATCAACAAGCTAATGCTTTTAGCATTTCAGCAATCTACTGGACTATAACAGAACTACCTGTGACTCACATACAGCCTCACTATGAAAACAAAAAGAAATGAAATCAGAACAAATTCGAACAACAAATATGGCCTTTTAAAACCCTATCTATGACCTTGGTGAAATTTAAACAATCATATTTTATTTACTATTTTTATTAGGCTGCAAGAGACTGTACATCAGAAGTGCATTCAACAGAGACATATAAAATTGAACTATAGATTTCCATCAATGAGGCCATAAAAACATGTGGCAATTTTCATTCACTGACAGTTTTAACTGTACAAAATTTCATAAAAAACAACAGCTCAAGACAAACAATTCTAATTATGACAATTACAACTGAATGCTTCTTGAGTCATATTTAATTCATATGGTTTTAAATGTGTCCACATTGAGACAGATGGAGATTATTTTCATTTACAATGTCCACTGTTAATGTAATACACATTTAATTAGATGAATGCTCACTAATTAGGGACTGATAACTTTTATTCCTCATGATCAGCTTTAACCGCTCTAAAATTATCTGGAGCAAAAACAATTTCTATGTCACTTTTTTTGAGTCTGGTGTGGCACTGTAGGCTAAGCAGTGGGCTGCTAACCAAACGGTCAACAGTCACCAGTTGCTCCTCAGAAACTCTAATATAGGGTTGCTATGAGTCAGAACCAACTCCACAGGACTTAACAATAACAAAGACACTTTCAGTAGCTGAAATCTAAGAGTGCTTCTAAAATCAACTGATTTTTATCTTACTACTCCAAATCTATTCACGTCATTTCTTTCCTCTTAGGTTTTGAACTTTTGCTTGATCTCTAAATTATGATGCTCTTCATCACTACCTCCTAAAGCATGCCTTTTAGAAACTCCTTCCTGATATGAGATTTCAGACAAAAAACAGAGATGTCTTGATTTATCTGCAACTCTCTTACAAGTCTATTAGAGTAGGCCAACACATGGGTGAAAGATCTTAAAGAAGACCACTCGTAAACAGCATCTCATTTTCTACTCACCATTACTTAGTAGGCTAAACAAACTTAAATATTTTAAAGTGAAAGTATAATTTTGTCTAGTCTATATAGGGATCATTTTCTGACATTTCTGTGACAAATCTTGTTCGTGTTTATTGTTGTCAAAATTGTACTCCTTTGGTGTGCTCTTTAATCCTAAATGTAGTTCTAAACAATAAACACTTGATAAAATATACTTAATAGATTTTAATAAAAGCATACAGGGAGGGATAATGTTTACTTAAATATTATAGTCTATAAATTGCTCCAGAGAGTCATAAATAATAAAAAATAGGATATAACAAGAAATTCTCTAGGAATCTGACTCTACCCTATTTATGGAATAAGCTAGAAGGCAACCAATCAGAGCACTGGACTACAAAACCAAAGTGAGACATCAAAATGTGGCCCACTTAAATATATCCAGTCAATCTCTTCTCACATCTACCATCGACTGCCCCTATGGTATTTTTTACACTGCATAATGGCCTCTGTAAATACAGCTGACTATTCACCAGGATAAATACAATCGCAGTCTTTAAAAACAGCTCCCTGATTCTGTTACACATTTCACTGAATCAGCACTGTTCCCTGCAAACATAAAGACTCACATAAGGCATTTTTGTATGAACATTTTTAGAGACGAGAGATCCTTGCTCTTGAAAAAAAAAAAAAAAAAGCTTTGTAATTCAACTTTCTCAAATATTGCAGACCTAATTTCCAAACTGCTTCATTTCTAAGATTAAAAGAAGTATGACAAATCTATATGGTGACTCAATAGTAATATTTTCTCCAGTAAACTTTAAATTTAAATATTATAATGATATTAAATCTAAAATTACTCTAAGTAATGCTGAAAGTGGAACATTTACTAGTCAAAATATGTGTATCAAGTACATAAAATACTTTAAAATTTAGTCTTTTAATAAATATACAGGTTTCTGCAGTTTTATAACTTGTCTCTGCCTACAACTTAAGATACAAGCTACCTCTATATTTTTAGGGGAGTCATGGTATGGCACTGTAGGGTAAAACAATGGGTCACAAAGTCAGCTTGAACCATAAGATTGGCAGTTCAAACTCACCAGCTGCTTCTCAAAAACCCTATACAGGGTCGTTATAAGTCAGAACTGACTCAACAACACTTAACAATAACAATTTTTAAGGGGTCATGCCCATTTTCCCTTTGAATATTTTAAGACACATTTAACTGGTAAATGAGTTTGGTTTTTGCTTGTTTTAACCATGAGATTTTTAAACAATATTACAGTTATTTCATTACAGACAGTACCCAGAAGATATTTAATAGTAGTAATTCTCAGGAGTTTTCTCTTTAAAGTTAAAAAGTAACACAAAACGGTACTATTTTTCATATGCTGTTATTGTTGTTAAGTGCCATCGAGTCAGTTTCATAGAGATTTTGTACAGGGTCATTTTGAATAGCTGATTATAGGGTTCAAACTCGACCTTGCGGTACAGTGCTTTATCCTACAAAGCTACTCCAGGACTCCATTTTCTTTCTTCTACATTTTCATATTTTTATTTAATAAAGGTTTCTATAATTTTGTAGCAATACTTTTTTTTCTGTAACTTTTTATTGTGAATTGAGTGAAGGTTTACACAGCAGATCACCAGTTTTACATTGAACAAATCATATACTTTGCTTCATTACACGTTGGCAGTTCCCTCCATATACCTACAGTTAACAGTATTTACCTCTATTAGTTTAAGTTGTATGATTCACAAGTTAGGTGGTTCAAACTTATCAGCCATTCCTTGGCAATCCTATAGAGGGTCATTATGGGTCAGAACCAACTCAACAGCTCTTAAGAACAACAACAACAAACTTAACTATTATATTCCTTTCTATGGTTGCTGCTACCTTCGTCTTTCCTCCGCTAAACCCCCGCTTGTTGTATATTGTTTGTCCTGTCACCTACATCAACATTGTCTGCCCTCTAGCCCATGAAGCGTTTACCCTTCCCCCCACACCCTCCCTATCTATCATAGACTGGTTTTGTTTGTTTGAACAATTATATAATTTGCACTTTCAAAGTAGCAGTAACATACAACCTTCCCTACCTCCAATCCTAAACCCTTTGCTGGGATCTTGTGGCATGAAGTTTCGAATACACTTCCAAAATTCTTTCTATGCTTGGATATCGGGGCTACTCACGGTCAAGTTCACCAGGTGGGGAGACTCACCTGGGGCTGTGGCTTTTTAATCTTTTGGGGAGCAGAAAGCCTGATGTTTCTCTGGCAGAGCCGCTGGCAGGCTGGCTCTCACATCTTTGCTGCAGAGGGACCATTCAGTGTGTCTGCCCGGTTCATGCTCTTGTCAGCCCGAAGTCCAGGACTCCATTTTTAATATATATAGTCTCATACTTTAATGCTTGCTTTCTGCTCCCACAAAGATTTATAACCTTAGAAACCCTGTACAGGGTCACTATGAGTCAGAACTTACTGAACAACACTTAACAACAGTTTTTACAGTTTAAGTAAGAAGGACTAGTGAAAATGTTGTTGTTAAAAGCCGTAGAGTCGATTCCCATTCATAGAAACCCTGTATATGGTTTCCAAAGAGCAGCTGGTGGGTTTGAACTGTTAATCTTGTGGTACACAGTTCAGTGCTGATCCTACAGCACCACACCAGGAATCAAGCCTATGTCGTTGTTGTTGTTATGTACACCTGAGTAGGTTCTGACTGATAGCGACCCAGTAGAGGGTTTCCGATAAGTGACTGGTGACAGAGCATGGTGAAAGGTAGGAAGTACAATGGGGAAAAGGAAACTTGCTAAAAAGGATCAAGAAAAGTAGGAAAAGGATATAAATTGTGGGTTGTAGTTTTAAGTACAGGTCAGGGTAGGCCTCACTGAGAATGTGACATTTGAGCAAAGACTAGAAGAAGGAGTGAGAGTGGTCAAGTAGCCATTGGGGAGAAGTCAGATCTAGTCAGAGGGCACAGCCAGTGCATAGGTACTGAGGCGGGGACTTCAGGCTACATTAGAAAACATCAATGAGACTTGTGTGGCTGCAGCAGTATTAACTGACTGCTCCCCTGAAAAGTGTTAGTAAGGCGAAGTAAGAGAGAGGCCAAGCAGAAGATTCAATGACAATGGTGACTAGGGCCAGCATGTGAAGTGGAAAAAGTGATCAAACTTTATTTTAAAGAAAGAGTCATCAAGATGTTCATAATGGATTGAATGAAGGGGCAGAGGGGGAAAGGGGTCAACAGTGATCTATTAGGTTTTCGTCTCAGAAACTGAAATGACAACTATTAAAATGGCACAATGTGCAGAAGGGGGAGGGGAAGTTTTAGGTTACATGTATGCTGTCCAAGTAGAAATAAATATCAAATGCATGACTGAACACAAGATTGGAGTTGGGGAGAGAAGTCTGAGCTGGAAATGTAAATCTGAGAGATTGGAAAATAGACAGAGATGCAAGTATTTAGTCATGATAAGCAGAGGAGCAAATGCAGATAGAGGTCAGACCTGAGTCCAGGGACACTGCAACATGAAGTTGGGTTGGAGAAAAGAGCAAGAACCATGAAAGGACACTAAGAAGAAAGACCAGTGAGTTAAGAAGAAAACCATCCTGGAAACTGAGTGCAGACAGTGTATTAATAAAGAGTGGTGTCAACTTCCACAAACACTGTTAACTGATGGGACATGGAGGGGATCTAATCATTGTAATGAAACAAGGTGTAAGATTTATTGAATGTAAAACTGATGATCTGCCCTGTAAACTTTCACTCAATCCACAATAAAAACTTTAAGGAAAAAAAAAAAAAAGAATACTGCAAAGGGGACAGGGAGATCCCTGGGGGGAACCTCATGAAAAGGACCAGATCAACAGAGGCTTCAGGGAC